CGCCTGCGCCGGGGACCGCCGCGGGCTTGGGGCGCACCTGTGGGGCCCGCGGTAGGGATGAGAGGAAGCGGGGCGGCCCGCAGGGGCTTGGGCCGGCTTCTCGCCGGGGAGGGCTGGCGCGGGCGGGGCGGCCCGGGCTCTGAGGGCTGCAAAGCGGCAGCCCCGGGGCCTCCAGGTTCGCGGTGAGAAATGAGCCGTGAGGACCCGCGCCGTGGCTGGGGCAGAGCTTGTTCGAGGGCGGCACCCAGGAGCTTGGGTTCCAGTTGCGCCGAAGACACGCCGCTGTTGGCGCTGACAAGGCGGTTTTTAAGGAAGGGGAAGGAGCAGTTCCTGGGTTGTTTACCAATAATTTGCATTAAAATAATATAAGCTATTGATTGGCTCTCCATTGTTCTTTGGAGCACAGATTCCAGGAATTTGGAGATAATGGAGAGGCGGGCGGTCAGGAACTCAGTGCCTTTAAACAATTGCCCCGCCGGGCCTGGCTTCAGGCGGGGGTGTGGCTGTGAGTGAGTCCCTTGTTCCCCTTTCTGGGCCAGATAGATTTTGCATATTCACAGCTCAGACTGCTCTGCGCTATTTTTCTTCTCAGAAAGCAGAGAGATTTCTTGAAAATAATTTCTTAGTGGAAGATGTCTTAAATAGAATGCAAAGTCCTGAAGCCACTGGTTGAAGTAACACTTTTTTTTTTTTTTTTTTTTTGAGACAGAGTCTCACTTTGTTGCCCAGGCTAGAGTGAGTGCCGTGGCGTCAGCCTAGCTCACAGCAACCTCAGACTCCTGGGCTCAAGCGATCCTCCTGCCTCAGCCTCCCAAGTAGCTGGGACTACAGGCATGCGCCACCATGCCCGGCTAATTTTTTCTATATATATTTTTAGCTGTCCAATTAATTTCTTTCTATTTTTGGTAGAGACGGGGTCTCGCCCTTGCTCAGGCTGGTTTCGAACTCCTGAGCTCAAACAATCCGCCCGCCTCGGCCTCCCAGAGTGCTAGGATTACAGGCGTGAGCCACCGCGCCCGGCCTGAAGTAACACTTTTTGAGTGCCCACAGCGTGCCCAGCAGGTCAGGGCTGCAGCTGAGAACCAAGTACAAGGGCAGAAATTCTCCTGTGTAATGGAAAAAGGGAGGCGTGAGGAAATAGATGCTTATGCACTAACCTTGGTGGTAAATGCTGTCAGAAAAAGCTGGGAGTGAGATGGGGACACTGTTCAAATAGGCCTCTAGGTGAAGGGGTGGGGAACATCTTAAGATACCAAAAGGGGCTGGGTGCAGTGGTGGTGCACGGCTGTCAGCTACTCGGGAGGCCGAGGCAGGAGGATCGCTTGAGCCCAGGAGTTTGGAGGTTGCAGTGAGCTATAATGATATTGTTTACAAAGCACCAAAACCATCAATCTAACAACCAACATGCAAGACCTCTACGGAGAGGACTGCAAATCATGGCTGAGAGAAAGTAGCAACATTTAAATAAGTGGGGGAATATACCAGGTTCATGGACCGAAGACTCACTGTTGTAAAGAAAGACATCAGAGATCTCCAAATTTATCTGTAGATTCAATGCAATCCCAATCAAAATCCCAAACAGTTTTTAAGGAAATTGACTAGCTGATTCTAAAATTTACATGGAAACACAAAGAGCCACGAGGAGCCTGAAGACCAAGACAGTTGGAGGCTGGACCATCGATTGGCTCTGCCGCAGCTGGGCACACGCGGCCTGCGACTCAGCATTCTGTTCCTTGGGATGTGCCCAACGGAAAGACACACGTGTGTTCACACACAGATGTGCAGGAGAGAATTTATAGCAGTCATTCATCACAGCCTGTGAAAGCTGTCAGATTCATAACGGAGTCACTTGTGTCAAACCCTGGCAAGTGGGAGCCGGGGAGGACCGTGAAGGCGGGGTCCTCACACACCATCTGCCTGATAACAGGAACTGCTCCATGGAACGTTTCCAGACCGCAGCTCCTGTATCGAGTCACGCGAGGACAGCAGCTGCATATGGAGGAACACCTGCCTGGCACCCTGCTGCACAAGCCCGGTCCAAAACCGCAGGGCCCCGTGGTCATCCGCGGAGTGCGAGTCCTCCCCAGCAACCACGGACACCCGCCAGTGAGAGCCCACCAACTCTTGGAGGGCTACGATACTCTTGTGTAACCTCCCTTTCCACGGTCAAATCCTAACCCTTCTCTTGGGCCTCTGGACTCACCGGAGGCCACCCTGGTCTATGCGCATGTCTGGACTG